GGAGAGACTTCCTCTTCCTTCAGGACCAGCTGTGGAGGCCACGATACCTGCTCTGAGATCGCCAATTTGGAGCAGTCTCAGCCATCAGCAGGAATGCCCAGCACTGTAGGAACAAGATCAAAGGCCTTCCCCACTCACCAACATAAATTTCACTGTCTTCTCTTCAGTAATTCACACTAAATCTATCTCTGCAACTGGACCCACCTCCCACTGAGATCATGCTCAACCATGCCCACTATTGTCTGCAACATCTTCCCTATTCACCCTCACTGAATCCATAACTGCAACACCCCTAACCCTGCATATCTTCCATGCAGCCTACTCTCTCAGTTAGGGAACTGACCCACCTGCATCAAAAACAATAGCTGTGCCGCGCACTTTCAACTTCCATAATGTCTGCCTCTCTCTCCCATCCAGCAGCAAATCAGCCCACAGCAGGGCAGAAAGAATCAAGATGGGTGGTGTGTTGCCCATTTATTCAGCTTCTCACCCATTATCAGCAGAGAATCTTAGCATTGCCTGCCCTGTGCAAGCCCTGAACTGGTCACAAAGGATGTTGTTGACTGACTGTGCCAGGAACCCCTGAGTGAAAGCAATGCCCTTGACTGGATTTAGGTGTGTTTATAACTGTGGCAATCTTCCTGCCTTTGTTTCTGTGGTAAATAACTTGGGGAAAACAGTAGTAATATTAATCTTATATCTCTGACTGAAGGGACAATGTGAAAAATGTAAGGCAAGGCAATGCAAGGCTTAGATTTGGAATGATTGAGTCCCATGACAGTAAAAAAATGCTGGAAATCCAGCCTCGTCCAGTCCATAAGCTGGGTGCATAATTCCTGCAGCAAAGTGTCCTTGCTGTTGCATTACAATGATAGTTTCTAGTGTGCCCTGAGGTGCATCATTAAAATCCAGAAGTATCTGTAAATGGATCCAGTATGTGCTACAAGTGCTCATTGAAGCTAGAACATGTCTGATGCCAATGGATTGCAGGTGGCTGCTGCCCATGCACAGGGTATGAAGTTGGTGCCCAGTGTCCAGTACGGAGGGTATTTTGGAGAAAGCGAGTTGAACTCACCAACAACCTGCACTGGTTTCCATGTTGAGATTTCATCATGTTTGGTAATTTTGGCAAGTTTGGTAAGATGGCAACTCATGGCAAGTTGGGCTGTTAACAGATTGTTTAACATGCAATAATGTGTATCAAATGGGAACTCATTGCTGCCTAGCAAGAATCTTGCCATCTGCATGAGAAAAGTCAACAGGATATTCCCAGATGATCTTGACATTGTCACCCAATTCTATCATTTCTTTGCATAGCACTAAAAAAAAAGTTGAACCGGTAGGTTTGAGGAACAGCAAGAAATATTTTAAAAGACATCAGAATGGCATTATTAACTTAGTGGAATGGACAGTTGGCTGGCGGATGCAACTTAATGCAGAGAAACTTGTGACATAGTGTACAAGTGGGAAAAAAAACAATTGGAGATTAAGATTCAATTGAATGACATTTGGAAGATGTTGGTGATTAAGGAAGAAAAAAGGTTCAAATACATAAATCCTTGAAATATGTCAAAGACTACTGTGATTTTAAGGGAAAAGTCGGAAGAAAAGAATTAATGCAGGTAAAGATACAAACTTATAGACATAAAGCAGCTTGGCAGGATTAATTTGAACAAGTCACAATGGGCTCCTTTTATGCTGTAAACCTCAAAGTTTCTTTGTTATTTAAAAAAAAAGCTATGTTGTGTTCAATTTTGTGAAGCTAAACTCCTGATATTGTTCCTTTGTAATGCACTCTATCTACAGGAACTATAATTACCCTTGTCTACACCATTTTATCTAATTCTATGTACTGGACATCTCCATAAAAAGAACAAAGTAAGTGTGTAACAAAGCTAAAGCTAACATCTAAACTAACTTGTTCCAGGTGACCCATCAGAACCAATATTTATACTACTTCAGCTTGTCCAGCTACACAGACTTCGGTGGTTTAGTAGTCAGGCTAAACCATCTTTTACCTTTGTGACTTCACATGTCAATTTTTATTATTTAAATGATTGTTGTACAATGCCTTGAAGAAAAACAAGCACATGCCTGTGTCAACTGAGCATAAGCATGAGAAATATTTAACCTTTGTGCCTGATGGATAATAAAAGTAAATGCTGAGATTTCCATGATGAATAGCTTGTTTCTAAACACCAAGCAATGTGAAAGTAAAAATACGATAGTCCTACTGGACTTTGACTTTCCACCTTGTATTTAATGTAGAAAAGACTGAAATAAATATGTCTACCCTTAAGATAAAGTTCTGAGTCATATTGCCTGTGCTAAACGTTACTGAATGTTGGTTCTTGCATGTTCATCTTTTATTTTCACAAGATTGCGTAAATTACATATGTCAATGGAGGTCATCAATTATATTACATTCACAAATTCTTGCCTATACTCAATCACACCCTTGCTTCCACATTTGACGGCCTAGTCGCCACAAAAATCACGAATGATTTAAAACCCTGACCATTCCAGTAAAGCGGTCCTCGTCTCTGCTTTCTCAAATTCAGGGCATACAGACTTATGGACTATAATATATAGGAGCAGAACTCAGCCATTCAGACCATCAAGTTTGCTTTGCCCTTCAATGAGATTCATGGCTGATCTGATAATCCATAGCACCACTTTCCTGTCTTTTCTGCATACCCCTTGATTTCCTTATTCATTAGGTATCTGTCTATCTTAGCCTTGATCATGTTTAAAGACCCAACCTCTCCAGGTCTCTGCAGAAAAGAATTCTACAGATTCACACCCCTCTGAGAGAAGAAATTCCTTCTCATTTCTGTCATAACTGAGCAACCCATTACTCTGAGGTCATATCTTTTGTTCTAGACAGACCCAATCGTCTAGGCCCGAAACGTCAGCCTCTCTGCTCCTATGATGCTGCTTGGCCTGCTGTGTTCATCCAGCCCTGCACCTTGTTGTCTCGGATTCTCCAGCATCTGCAGTTCCTACTATCCCCAATCCACTCTCTGCAGCTACCTTATGAACACCCCAAAATTCTTATATGTTTCAATAAGGCTGCCTCTCATTCTTCCAATGAGTACATCGTAGTCAAGTTCTCCTCTTAAGAGAATCCCACTATACCCAGAATCAGTCAAGTAAAACCTCTCTAGAATGCCTTGATGTCAGTATATCTTTCACAGATATGGGAAAAAAAATCTGTGCACATTATTCCAGGTCTACCTAGTGTCTCATATAGTGTTCACAAGACTTTCCTGTTTTCATACTCTATTCCCTTTGAAATCAAGGCCAAAATGCTATTTGCCTTCCCTATTGCCCGCTGAACTTTGATGCTACTATGGTTGATAACTGGTATTTCCATTCATCATTATATCTGCTTGAAACACACATAAAGTGAACCAGATCCTACTCTCATCTGCTAAAACCACTGCCTACTCCAGGATCATCCTAAAGAGCAAAGATAACATTTCGCTTACTTTCTCTACTAAAATCTACACTCAAAAATCACCCCCACCCCACCAATAACTCCAACAGCAAGTGAAAATCAAACTCAAGGACTACTTTTTCACTAAGATTGTGACCATCCAATCAGATGCCTGCCACCTTCCTCTCTTCTTCTACACCATC